GTCCGAATTCCTTGTACAAGCAAGGATCTCATAGAAAAAAGAACAACATTGACGTCCTTAACCAACATGGGTATACAAGAACTCTCTCTCTGCACAATGACATAAAGCTGTCTCAGTTCCATTGAACTTTTTCCCGACAAACTTCTCACCCTAAGACAGCATCCATTCATTGCCTGAGATTGGGGTACATGTGCAACTGGGAGATCTAAGTGCCTCCTACAAGACCATTGCAACACTATCACTTCCGAACCTCTCCTACGCTATTTTCTGTCCCGCCCAGCCCTTCGAAATCTCTGTCGAGCAACCCACTAATCTCCCAAAAGATAACAGATATTAGTCATGCACAACCTTAGCGCAAGTCCTTCTAAAGAAACTAGAGATTTCTTTGCAATCCGCCTCCCTGATAATCTCCCAATCTTCACCTTACTTTGCAACTTTGCAACTTCACATCTTTATTTTATTTTATTGTGTATCTTTATTCCTAAACCTAAAAAAAAATATAAATTCATATATGTTTGTGTATATATATATATATATATATATATATATATATATATATATATATATATATATATATTTATATATATATATGATATATATATATATATATATATATATATATATATATATATATATATATATATATATATATACATATGATATATATATATGATATATATATATATATATATATATATATATATATATATATATATATATATGTATATATATGTATATATATGTATATATATATATATATATATATATATATATATATATATATATATATATATATGTATATACGTAAATGAGCGCAGAGTTGTTATTGTTATGTAATAATTTCCTTTAACTCTGGCCTGCTGGGAATGCATACTGAGATAGACTTTCAGTATAGTTTGTGTGTGTGAGTTTCGTTCTTTGAATAAACTTTTAAAGTCAAAAATGGCTTCGCATAATGGCCAAAATGTAAGCAGGCGTACCAACTTGGCGGTCTCTTTAATGGTATTACTAGTAAAATGGGGAATAATTTTGCGGGTCTCGCTTTGACTATACAATATTTACGGGCGCGGGGCCGAGACAGGCAAGAGCAGCGCGTCCGTTCTTGTCGCGCATTCAGGCCGGTCTGGTGCGTCCGCGTCTAGGGGGACTGAGAGCGGCTGCGGGGGAGGCGGCGGAAAATTGTGACACTCATTTGTCTACGCGTTAGTTCGAAGCAGTTTGAGTAAAAGAACGCTTCGAACTTATTTTAATGACTGTAAATCTAGATTCTTTGGTGTAGATTTGTCTACATATTCTACATGTGTTTGCCCGAGGGTGTTTACGGATGCTTGCAAAAATGTTTCTCCCGATTTGCCGCCAAATGGACAGGAATGTGGCGCGGGGAAGTTTTTGATGCGCCTCGGTTTCACAAGTCCCACCCACACTGCAAGAGCACTTGAGGCGCCCGCATGGCATATCCACGGCTGTTAACTCGCATTCTTACACAGCGTCACTTCTGGGCAGAGGAGCCCCTTCCCCCCACGCCACCCCACCCCTTCCCCGGGAGTCGCGCCGTCACCCAATATGCGTACCAAGGCCAAACGTTTCATGCCTTTCTCGGCGACGCGTCATGGGGCGTCATGCATCAGGCAATCGACGAGTCAGTGACCGACCTGCAGGAGCGGATCCGGGTCCACGGGATCTGGCATGTGGATGTCCTTGGCGTGCGAGCCGAAGGCGCCCCGGGCGTAGGCCATCGCGCTCTCCTTCGTGCGCTGCGTCGCCGTGTAGCGGAACTGTGGGCGGAGGCAGGGTTAGGGAGGAGCCGCGGAGGAACAGATCGTAGCGTGAGAACAAGCGCGAAACAAAAACAACTTCCGAAGGACGGACGGAACTTCGCGGACGGGCTCACCTTATAGTCTTCCGTGGCGAAGTTATCGGGCAGGATTTCGGGAAACAAGTTCAGGAATTTACTGGAAATTTCCTCCTGCTGGTAGGCTCCCTCGGGGGCCAGGGTCTGGGCGAGGCTCTCGTTGAGGTTCGAAAACCAGAAATGAAGCAGTTTCTTGTCGGAGGAACATAGTTTACCTGAGGAACAAAATATTAATTTAACTTTTTGCAGTCTCACGTGCATGCGTGCACACAAACATGCATGCATGCGCTCGCACACACACACCCACACACCCACACCCACACACACACACACACACACACACACACACACACACACACACACACACACACACACACACACACACACACACACTCACACGCACGCATGCACGCGTGCATGCACACACACAAACACGCATGTGTGTGTGTGTGTGTGTGTACATACATATATGAATAGACAGAGAGATAAATAGATAGCTAAAAACTGATAGATACAGACATAGATATATATGTACATATGCATATATATATAGATAGATGGATAGATTGATAGATAGATAGATAGATAGACAGATAGATAGATAGAAAGATATATAGATAGATAAATGAATAAACAGATACATAGAATAGATGGATACAGAATTATCCCAGATGAATTCCTCTTGGCACAAACAAAACACTCAGTTAAACTATTTTTAGCAGAAAAAATACGAAGTAAATCTCTTCAATCAAGGAACTTTTTTTTTTGTCTAACTACAACTAGGGTTACTTCCCGTCTCTTTGGAGGGACTCGTGTACTTACCTACTTACCACGATCTCTGCTCCATTTTCTGCTTACTAACCCTAACGCACTACATACTCATGGCAGCCACTGTTTACTAACTAATGCCTACTGCTGACTAACCACAGTCTCTTGTTTACTAACTACAGCCTACCTCTTACTGATCCTAGCTTCCTGCTTACCAACCACAACCTCCTGCTTACTAACCTCATCCTACTAATTACTTACCCCAGCCTGCCACTTACTTACCATATCCTACTGCTTACTAAACACAACCTACTGCTTCCCAACAACAGGCTACTACTTACTAACCCCAGTCTACTGCTTACTAACCCAGTCTACTACTTACTAACCCCAGCCTACTGCTTACTTACCCTAGTCTACTGCTTACTAACGCCAGTCTACTGCTTACTAACCCAGTCTACTACTTACTTACCCCAGCCTACTGCTTACTTACCCTAGTCTACTGCTTGGTAGCCTACTGATATCTAACCATAGCCAACTGCTTACTAACCAAAGCCTATTGCATACTTATCATAGCCTGGTGCTTACTAACCAACCTACTGCTTACTAACCACAGCCTATTCCAAACCTATTAGAGCCTACTGCTTACTAACCAGTACCCAGCCTACTCCTTACTAACCACAACCTACTGCTTACTAACCACAGCCTACTGCATACTGACTCCAGCCTACTACTTACTAACCACAGCCTATTGCTTACTAACCACAGCCTATTGTATACTTACCATAGCCTGCTGCTTACTAACTCCAGCCTACTGCCTATTAATCAAAGCCTATTGCATAACTACCATAGCCCACTGCTTACTTCCCACAGCCTATTGTATACTTCCCACAGCCCACTGCTTACTTCCCACAGCCTATTGTATACTTCCCACTGCCTACTGCTTACTTCCCACAGCCTATTGTATACTTCCCACAGCCTACTGCTTACTTCCCACAGCCTATTGTATACTTCCCACAGCCTACTGCTTACTTCCCACAGCCTATTGTATACTTCCCACAGCCTACTGCTTACTTCCCACAGCCTATTGTATACTTCCCACAGCCTACTGCTTACTTCCCACAGCCTATTGTATACTTCCCACAGCCTACTGCTTACTTCCCACAGCCTATTGTATACTTCCCACAGCCTACTGCTTACTTCCCACAGCCTATTGTATACTTCCCACAGCCTACTGCTTACTTCCCACAGCCTATTGTATACTTCCCACAGCCTACTGCTTACTTCCCACAGCCTATTGTATACTTCCCACAGCCTACTGCTTACTTCCCACAGCCTATTGTATACTTCCCACAGCCTACTGCTTACTTCCCACAGCCTATTGTATACTTCCCACAGCCTACTGCTTACTTCCCACAGCCTATTGTATACTTCCCACAGCCTACTGCTTACTTCCCACAGCCTATTGTATACTTCCCACAACCTACTGCTTACTTCCCACAGCCTGTTGTATACTTCCCACAGCCTACTGCTTACTAACCACAGCCTCCTTACTCACCGCAGCCTGCACAGCTGTTGATGCGCGCCTTGAGTTCGGGAAGGACGTCCATGAAGGTCCTGATGTCCTTCTCGCTCGGGTACCTGGAGCCGTGGCGGACGAGGTGCCACAGCTGCACGGGGTGGCACGCTGGGGGGAAGGGGGGAGGGTCAGCGGAAGTGGACAGGGATCAGGAACCGGACGGGATGCACACATGTACATACACGTGCATGCACATGGGCATATTGACATACAAACACACACAGACACACACACAGACGGATATATATATGTATACACTCTATCAAAATCATTAAATATATATCATAATCATTAAATATATATCATTATCATCCTCACTAAACCCACTCCCCTCCCTAGGGCCTTCTCAGATCTTCGTACCCCCCACTCCCCCCTTGCCCCCAAGGCTCTCTCAGGTACCCCCTCCCCCTCCCCCCCATGACTCACACTCGGGCACCAGGTCCTTCTTGGTCATGTTGCCCCTCAGTTTGGCGTACGGCGACTTGGAGGAGAACAAGTCAGCCACCTTCTGGGCATTGCTGTAGCAGTAGGCGGCGACGGCGGCGCGCAGGAGGGAGGCGCAGCACAGGAGCACCAGGCATACCCAGGCGCCGTGCCTTCGCCGGGGCATCTCGGGGTCGGCGCTGAGGATGTGTTGAAAGGTTCAAGGGTGAGGTTCACTCTGAGAAGTTGGATGAAGGCTTAAGTATGAGGCTCACTGTGAGGATGTTGAGGAAAGCTCGAGGGTGAGGCTCACACTAAGGATCGGGGGAGAAGGCTCGAGGGTGAGGTTCACCCTGAGGATATGAATGAAGTCCTAAAGGT